GCCTATAGTGCCCAGTACMAAGTGTGAAAAATGCTAAAGAGATGCTCGAGATTTTCTACGCTTTTTTCGTGTTCTSCCAACATCTCGTGTGGTATATTTCACCAGGAACGCACGAAAATGTGTTACTTATTGCTTTATTCGCAAAATCGTGTGATATCTAACATGTTGCTTTCTTTTAGCATGAGAAATTTCTATTGTGTTTTCCCTGCATGAATTCCTTCAGGTAATACATACTACTATATTTGTTCAGTCGGTAAGCTGGTATTGGTCATAATTATATCATGAAGTGACATCCAGGCTTCGTCACTTGAAGCGTCTTTACATACAAAATTTTTACTATGACGTCACATGAAATCARTATGACGTCATAGCATGGAAAACTCATAAGACATCCGTTACAGTCTTTTGATATTGAATACTGATGATGTCAACAATAGCCTCCTTCACGTTTACCTGCGCCATCTTGCTTGAAAGTTAACCGTGCCGTTGCGTCGATGCAGAAGACCCGTGAGTGTGCGATGTTAGAAACCTTCTCCCACACCCACAGACAATCATTTACAAGTATCTATCATTACATGTGCAACAGTTGTCTCGCTTCCATGCAAAGGCACAGCTAGCTTTCAGGATGGCGCAGGGAAATGTGAAGAAGACTATTAATGCTAGTATTTGTTTTCCCAGTGCACAAGTAATGCTTACAGCAGCCCCATTACAAAGACTGTTAACCATGTCTCTACCAGAACTGGTGTCTACGCTTCCATGGATACCACAACGAATACTCAATGTAAGACTTGTTAAAGAGGCCAGTGACTGGATTACGTARCTTTTCATGGGATCCGCCTAATCTAACTCAACGAAGCATGCATATGGCTAGCGTCATTACCGGTTGACATATTTACACCATCTCAAACACTTTTTAGTCGCTAAGGCCTGATTCAAACGTCGAACTTCATTCTGTTCACATTTCTTTTTAACATAAATCGTTCAAGAGCTTTTAAAGCGCAAAATATGAATGGTAAAAATTTATGGTAAAAATTATGTTTTTCCAACAACACAAGGTATAAGCTGTATGAATTCAGAGAATTGAAAAGTTTTCAAAGTTGTAATTTAGTGCAAGAGAAGTGCGGCATAGGAGTCTCTCCTAAAGCAAATGAGYTTAAAATAATGACTTTCGCACGTTAAACAATAGAAACTTGAATTTCGTATGACCAAAACTTAGTTTGGCCCATGCTTAAGGGCATTCAAAGACAGTACAACATTGTACAGTATTCAGTACTGATATAGTTACTGATTGTCATTATATAAAATTGTAACAACATGCAAATAAAATTCGCATTTTCTTTCAGGTTTTTTACCACACAACTCACTTAGCATCATCAGTTTTATATGATCACCATGTTGTTCCAACACAAAACGAACCCATAACCATGCCAGAGCCACCGCTCATGGAACACCCAACCCCCTACAGTGATATGAAGACAGTCAACACTCCTGGCAGTCACACTAGTGACGATTCACTCTGGATGGCCATACAACATGACAATACCGAYATCGAGTGTATGAATGACACCAATGATACATCAAGTAATGGATATTAATCATTATGAWCATCAYCATCATTYATTATCATCCATATTGATGGAGAASACCGCAAAAWTCCAAAATAACTGCATCGCTAAAGGCATGCATGAAGTGTACTGAAATGACTGAAACTCTTTGACATTTCATATTTCGCATTGATACCGAAACACTTTAGCATAAAGCAGATTCGGTCCCATCAACAATTAAGGGACGATAAATGCTGTTARCACCGTACATCAAAACTGTTTTAAATCCCCGCAACACCACACTTTCGTGCCTCATTCACCGCSAAACCGCGCGAATAAAAGTGTACACACTTCTAATGGCAGTATCGAAGGCCATATCAATGAATGGGGCTCTATGCCCATCATCCAAACGTGTGTTTTCCTTTTTTCTAACGAGAAAGCTTTCAAATGGACGACAATTTTATTACGTTGCATTGAAAATCAATCTTATGTGAAACAGGGCATATCATCATTACTAATGACGTCCAATCTTACTTTGATTCATGATTATTGTCATCATCATTGATACCATCCTCTAAAAAACATCCATTCTTATTATCGTTTTCCTTCTATCTAGATAAAGCACAACTTAACGATGGACCAATAAGACAGCAGGATACCTCTCACTGCAATCAAGACTATTACAACATCCAGTGTTGTGATAATGAATTATCAGGACTACAAGGAGAAACCTTTGCCGACTCTTTCTGGGCTGATGAGACAGCAAGACGTAACATAACAGTTGSTGCAAATCAAAGTGTAACCTCCAAGAAGATATTCAATCTTACTGCTAACACACTACAATCTCAAGAAARAAACGCGAGTGAACGGCACAAAGGATTCCAAGATGATAACCTTYGTTTTGGTGATGAAGATAATAACAATGTCGTAACGGGTCAAGCARGACGTGGAAGGACGATGAACGACGCAACGAATGGATATCGATATGCTGAGGTAAGGCCTATCAACTTTTGAGGTGAGGAGGGGAAATTATGAAGATTTGACCCGTGAAAGAATTGTTTTGGGTACCCATCATGATTTATCGCCTAGTGTGGGGTGGAATTACAGTGTACTTTCGATACTAATAGCCGACTTGCGAATTACGCATCAATAGTCACATACAAAGGAATCAAGACGAGGCGCCGTGCTAAAGACAATAGATTTTTCACAAAAAAGCACGGCGCCTCGTCTTGATTCCTTAGTATGTGACTATTGATGCGTAATTCGCAAGTCGGCTATTGAGAAGCGGGAAGAAAATTTGAAGAAAAGGGTGCTGGGTATATAAATAGGAATAAGAGAATGATATGKTAGACTGCGACCATGATTTGATTCTCTGATCGATTCTTCTTAAAAAGGAAGTGCGTCTGCATCGAAAGTCACCGCTGAAAAAAATTATTGCAAGTTTAATTATATCCTGTCGACCACACCTAGTTTTTCATGGATTGATATGATGTGTTTATGTGCAATGTATAATATGAGAGGGGAGGGGTACACCAGCCTCAGCATTTCACTCACAGGGGATTGGGAGGGGTCTGGTACATGTATGTCAGTGTATAYAATAATTGATTTGTTTAGATTGATACATCAATGGAGTGTCCTAGTGCTATTGACTATCAAGACTATAAATCAACCTGTCAACCAAGCAAAAACCCTTCATATAGAGGCTTACCACTACCAGTAAGACAAAGGATACCATCTAATAAAACCATGTTGCTACTTCCCAGGAATCAAGGAAGGTATGTACGACTGGACTTGCAAATATGAAAACTTGAATCCTACTGAATTCTACAAACGTCCATTATTCTGCAGCAATAAGTGCATTACAGTCACATCCCAACCATTATTCCTACTAGAAATCATGACAATGATAATGGTTGTTAAGGGGTCTTTTCTTAAGATATAATGAACATTGAGGAAGTCATGTGATTTTTTCTCCAATCCACTGGCGTACAATGGATGGCTCAGAGAGATTAGAGATGTCCCAAAGCTGAGGGCAGATTAAAGGGAAATTTAGAAAAATACAAGGATTTCKTTGTCTTCTAAATTTTTCTCGTGTGACGTCATGAAGGAAATTTAAGGGTTTGTAAAGAATCGGAGGTGCTCATGGTAGTATTATTCTTAATATATTTATTATTCATATCAGAGCTAGTACTGGGGCTAATGTAGGCATTGCTCAGCCACTGCGTCGCACACAAGGATGTCATGGCAGAGAAGAAAGGAGAACAGCAATGAAAACTCCCCATCAACATTCAGCATTCATGAAAAACAAGAAAACAATGCTAACCAAAACCAAAAAAGTATGATAATCTTGTTACATTTAGTTTTAATAACAAGATGAACTGCTTTATTTGCCATGATGAGATTAGCCTGTTTATCAGCTCTAGGGGAGGGGCAGGGAGATGAGCAGGAAAAGATCTGAGGGGCTGATCAATGTCGATAGGTACTGGTATGTACTCATTCTTCATTTGGGACACCCCCTTGTATGYAAATAAAATTATAAGAGAAGATAAAAGAGGATAAGTTGTCTTTACTGACTTCTCTCATTACCTATACTTGTTCTCTTAAAGGTGTTAAAGGACCATGTAATGCCCTGCTTTGARCCATCACCTGATGGTAAGTCATTGAAAATACAAATTGCTCAACTAGTGATGGGATTAAGAATAGATTCTTTTATGCATGCAAGCCTGATTCGAGATTTTAGTGTTCAAACATAATAGCCCAACATGGCTGACAATCATAAAATGTACAAATTTTTAATTTTAAAAATATTAAAAAATATATCAAGAATCGTACATAATATCAATATATCAACAATGTACATTGGCTGAAGATACAGCCCTGCTAAGTTACAAACTTTGACAACCAATAAAATGTACAAAATATGTCAAAAATCTTACATATAATKTGCATGATTTTTCAGATTTCCTCAATGAACTGTCAATCTTCAGTACATGGAAAGATGCCAATATCCCCTTCAAGAAGCAAAGATTGACCTATGAAAAGATTCCTGGATCTAAAGATGGACAGACTAAACTGGTGTTTTCTTAAATCAAGCCATCCATTACGTCCAGGAACTAAATGCAATATGGTGGTGGAGTCATAAAGGAAGTGAAAATAATATGATAAGCACACCTTAGAAAATTCATGTTTTCATTAAAAATTGGCTTCATAGGTTTAAGTCCTATGTCATCATTCTCAATTGGTTTCTATCAACATTTATTTCATAGCAAAACACAGTGATGTGAAATATACCATTCAGTCCTCCCTGTCCCACTATTTCCAAATGCAAATCTGATGCTTTCAGAATTTGCAATTCAATAAGGAAAATATTTTTATCGGTAAAAATACTCAGTCCATAGAATGCAGTTTGTCAACATGTAATTTGACAGTGGTAAATTTTAAAAAGATTTTAAGTAATTAATAATAAATACAATTTTTTTAATATCATTACTTTTGTACAGCAGGACAATTGGAACTTTGCATGTTTGTACATAAAGAGGAAAAGTATTAAAAACAACAACTTGCCAAGAGTATTTCACACCATTAATGCTAAAAGTGTCATATTTAATCATCATTSTTGTCCTGTTCTTTCTTAACKTCTTCATAGGATGGAGCACTAGASAGYACTCTGTCTACCAARCCAAACTCTTTTGCTTCATCTGGTGACATGAATTTGTCTCTTTCTAACATTTCCTCTGTTAAACAAAAATAACAGCAGTTTAACAATATAACAAGCTGATAATTTAGTGATTAAATCCATACTTAAAGTCTATTCTAGCTGCGTCTATATCAATCTTTTTCCCCTACTGATATGAGAGAAAACGATAAACAAAAAGAGAGATTACAGCCTATAAAATCAATGTATTTGATTGAGAAATATTACCTATTTTTGCTACATCTTGTCCAGTATGCTTAGAGTAAATTCCATTCAGGACTTTTTTCATTTTTATTATCTCCTCAGCTTGAATTGCAATGTCRGTTGCTTGRCCCTGCCGGCAAAATAAAAACACCAACCATTATTGATCAACACTTACTTAAAGTAGCAGACATAGAACAGAATGCTGTAAATGACAGCCCTTTCTACTGGCAGAATACAATGTCTGACCTGCCTTTCAGTGAGAGCTCTCGCAAAACTTGGAAATATGATAGCCAATTCTATTCATGCTGTACTTTGAGAGGAGTAATATTTTATCTAACTAACATGATTGTTATTACATGTAAAAAAATAAGACAGTACAAAATAATATCAAATCAATAACTTATTAATGGAAATATTCTTACATATGCACCTCCACTTGGCTGGTGTACCATTATTCTAGARTGAGGTAAAGCATGCCGAAGACCTTGTGTTCCTGCTGCTAAGAGCAGTGAACCCATACTACATGCCTGACCTACACACCATGTAGAGATTGGAGGCTGAATATACTGAAAATGAACAATGGAATTATTGATGGTGATAATATAATAATATACTTCTACAATACCAATGGACTATCATTTAAAAACAGTATGACTGTACAGCATCTATATCATAATCTACCACTAATAATCACYGCCCAAATCCAAGTATCAGACTCTCTTCAAGGGTATAGGAGCAGAGTTGCTGTACCCAATCACCTTTGAGAGAGCCTGGTACTCAAGCTAACAGACACTGTCTCATCCTAAAGAGACTACAATTAGCTTTACCTGCATTGTGTCATATATCCCTAGTCCAGCCGTTACAGCTCCACCTAATGACAATATGAAAACTTAAATATACTAGACGCTATAACAGGGTGAAGTCTAGCTAGCTAGTAGAGTGGACAATGGAAAAAAAAGAGGAATAGAATAAAAATGTGTTATCAAAAATTTAKATATGGTTGTATCAGTCTTTGGTTTAGCAAATATTTTTGGCTCATTTTATTCAAGATATWTGGGTACCAGGGTCTTGTCTTGCGCYGATGAAGCAATCACCTATACATTTGRCAATTGACATAACGCATTGTGGTAATTTTTTGGCCTTGTCTAATTTTACAAAGGTAGAACTAAAGTCTGTCTAGCCTAATGGCTAGCCTGAATAATTAGTAAWACGTCCAGCATATCTGCACCAGATCCTACAGGTGCCTCTCTCTTTTGTACAGGTCAAAAACAAATAAACAAAAGAWTTTTTTGAATTTCAATGCAAACCCTCATCCTAGTGTTTGAGTCATTCTTACCAGGGCTGTTGATGTACATATGTATTGGTTGYTTTGAACTCTCAGATTGAAGAAACAATAGCTGAGCTATCACAAGACTTGACATTTCATCTGTAACCTTCACAAAAAAAATCAATTTAATAGTGAAATTGAGATTTTGCCTTAGTAGTCATGCACATAAAGCCGTGGCAGCTACACAAGTTTTTTTTTTGCTTGCACAAGCGACACAATTTTCAGGTAAGATGAAAGCTGAACATTGAATTTGAGCTGTTTTTGTACATATACTTCTTTAAGGAGATTCAAATGAGTTTTGTGAGGATATTTTTATTGATACAGTATTGTCGCTTGTGTAGCCACATCATGCATTGGTGATTTTGAGAAAATGCATGACAAACTATTAGGTTTAACGCAATGCTGGCCCAAAATATAAACTGGGCATATGTCACTGGAGACACCACCATCAATTAAGATAATAAAAATGGTGATGGGAATATTTAATTAGAATATTACTTTATTGTTGACATTGCATTCTACAAATTTGTAGAACAAATGATCAAACTTACAGGACCCATTAGACATATTATTCTTTCTTTRAGTAGCCTTGAGAAAATATCGTAAGCTCTTTCACCTCGACCCTAAAAYAAATGGATTAATGWATTTAAAAAACAGGGTCAACTGTGCTCGGTATTGCTGGCAAACCAAGATTTTCTTAGCAAAAATTTATAATACAAAAATTTATAATATAATATTTATAATGGAGATTAATGAATCAAAATCCGGACTCAAAGCGAAGTATCAAAATTTTCAATAATAATTTAATWATYATTAATAATAATTTTCACTGCATTTTACCGTAGACTCGATGACCATAGGTATAAGAAAGTTCTTTGTACTTGTCGAATGGAAGGATCTTACCATCCTAGAAAATCGCTGCAAAAAAAAATGAAAATGATGAACACGATTGCAAAAAAAGCATTAGTTCAACATACTTTATAATTATTCCATTGACAATAAATTCAAAATGCTTTCTGAGTYGGAAAAATGAAATAATCCCAAGATACCTGTAATCCTAACCTGGACGCCATTTTGAATTATGTAATAATACCGCTGGATTAAAGTACTGCCGAGTAACCTGGCTTCCGGTTGGTTTCACAAAGCGTTCCCATGTGGCACGTTTTGGAAGACCTGATCGAACAGAACGAGTCTTCACACTTATGAATATATTTTTCAACTACTTTGTATTATGTATATATTTTCCATCCAATGGCTAGAGGTCTCTGATGCATATGATTCCACACGTGCTTACGAATTCTTGGCGGTCACAAGATAAGATGGCGACGACTTTTGGAGACGAAGTTTACGTCCCTAGTTTAACGAGTTGTATTGCAGTCTTCTTCATCGTTCTATGGTTGGTTCTCTACATTCTTCAACTAATAGCGATATTAGGGGGGTAAGTATGGACGAATTTGATGTGGGAATAATATTTTCAAGAATATTTGTTGTTGATTGAATTTTTTCTGTTTATTCAGAAAATTAGCATTGTACAAGTACAATCCGTGTTCAAATGAAAATGATCTACCAGGAGTGTCAATTATAAAGGTACCTTGTTTTTCTTTCCTTCAATGTGAATACCCTGTCATCGCGAATTAAGAAAACTTGAAATACACAAAATAATGATGATTACAATCTTTCTTTGCGATATTATATATAGAGTTTTTTATTCTTMCAGCCTCTAGCCGGGGAAGATTCACATTTGATTAAAAATCTCCAAACTTTCTTCGAGTTAAAATATCCTAAGGTAAGAAAATTCCTTGTTTGTTCGTTGATTCGATTTCAGAGTACAAATAAATTTCACAGCGATCATGTATTCTAGAAGGTGCTAATCGATGGTATTCTTCACAGTTCGAGATATTGTTTTGCGTCCAGGATGAGAGGGATACAACTGTACCTGTTGTACGACAATTAATGCAGAGCTATCCCCTGGTGAATGCCAGAGTTTTTACAGGTAAACGCCATAAAGGAAATAATTTGCCAAAATTAATTGTATCGCAAAAATACATTATTATACAAAAATACTCCACACTGAACATGAATGTTGTGGTTTGCATCTACGACTTGACATGAATTAATTAATTGTTTCAAAGGRGAAATTCCATTTTCCTTAACCTCAACATTTATCTCTGGATAGAAATTAAGAAAAGGAATTTKTATATACTTGTACACGTTTTGAATTACTGCATCTTGTATGAATTATGATAAAATAATATGATATGATGATAACCCTTGAAACTACCAATGGTTATTTTTCATAATGCTACAGAAAGCCAAGAAGAATTGACACATTTAACACAATCATGCAGGAAGATAACAGTATATTTTAAATATGTATTGCCTGAATTTTTCTCRCTAAATTAATCTTTTATTTTTACAAAAAGATTCCCTRGGCTGTACYGAGTAGTTGTTCTCTATCACTTTAATCATCTGTAGAACTTTGCAGTTTTAAAAGAAATGTTAAATTTGTCAAGAAATTAGTTAATTCATCTATTTCGTCTGTCTGTGCTATATGTGCATAATGATTGTTATAATAAGTGTTGTTTGATAATGCCGCTATCCCTTCAGATGTGTTATAATAAACATTGATTATAATACTGAGTTTTGATATAACTAAGAATCGACAATTGAAAAAATGTCAGTAAATGTTGAAAAGTAAAATTATAGATTGTTCAATTTGGTAGCTTGAGGATGAGACCAGTCTGTCAGTTTGACAAATTTTAATATTAATCTTTTTAATGCTTTAAAAACAGAAGACTTTCCTTTAAGGTTTTTCTTCATTAATGCATGTAGAGTGCTCGCATTTAAAGCGTGAAACAAATAGTAATAATTACTAATAAATAGTGTTGATTATACAATAGGAAACAAAGGAATTTGTATAATTTATCACCTATTTTGTAGTATTTATATTTCATGCATTTAGTGCGAGCACTCTACCATATGTTCAACAGTAATAGTCAATAAGTTATTATTTGAAAATACTTCACACAGATATAAATTATGCCTAAAATATCTATACAAATTACAATTTTGTGAATTATGAAGTACTGTAATTTCATCTGAATAAATTATAGTTTAGAATAACACCCTTGGCATTGGCAATGAAAATATGTTTTTCCAATCAAGAGATTGGGAATATAATTTTTTTCCCATAGATATATAGTACTGAAATGATATARRTCAGACAGTAAAACAAAGATTACTTCAAGAGTCTGARATGGGATAAAATAGTATCGTCAGACAAGTTATGAATTGTAGATTAAATGGGTTATATAGAAACCTTTTACTCACAATTTATACCCTATTATTGGTAAAACTGCCTTAGGCATAAGTCTAAGCACAGCTCTTAAGTTTTGAAATAAGTCTCTTAAATTCATRTCATTTTATATCATTTCTTTGTTGGATTTTGGATTGTTTACTGTTATCAAACCATTAAGAGAAGCTTCTGAGATATAATTTGTAAATATAGGAATCATGCTACCTTGTGTTGACCACATTTTAATAGGAATAAATTAATTAATATTGAAATATTACACTGTTTTGTTTCCAAAACATAAATGAAAATTACAGTGCAAATAACTATATCATTCGGTCCTTTTTCTTGTTCATAGAGAGTAACAGCTGTTTAAGTGGACAGCAGAATCTCTTGGGCAAAAACCTTTCCCAAAAAAAACTACAAAAGGAAATGCAAAAAACGTCTTTACAAAAGACAAAAAACTAACAAAAAAGCCTTGGTAGAGCAGTTGTATGTATATGTATGTGTGTTTTTTCTTTATTTTATGAGCATTTTTTTTTTTTTTTTTTACAAAAGAGTTTTTGTCAGTCAAAACAGCAGTCACACTTTTTTAAAACGGAAAAATGGATTGATTTTTAGAAACAATAAGCTTTTGTTTTGAGTCCAGCCTGATAGCTAATATTAATATTAGCATTATAATTAGCAGTATTTTCTGACTTGTCAGCAAAATTAAGTTATGATAATTATTCCATTTAAGATAGATTTTTGAGCAGACTTGAAGTAACCATGGAAATGTTTTACTGTTCAAACAGCTGTGTAATATGTATAATTAATGCAATATCAATTCTTATCATTAAATGAACTTTTACTTTTAACAAAGACAACTTTTAGTATAGCTTATATAACAACATGAGCAGCTGTATTGTATGGGATTACCATCTTGAGCCAAAGGCTTGTTTGCTTTCTTCAAAACCTAGTGAAGGTCTATGATGCGTTTTTAAGTGAGACCTTTTTTAGTGTTGGGTTGTCTCAATGGTGACGACCCTGTTGTGAATCTAAAACAACCTGTTGTTTCGATCAATATCCATTATTATTCTTCCATTCCCTCATTCTCCATTTATTCATTCTTCATGGTGCTTTATTCATAATAATTTATTTCAGAGTCAAGGACTGTTGGAGTCAATCCAAAAATCAATAACATGAACCAGGGATATGTTGCTGCTAAATATGATTTATTGTGGATATGTGATAGTGCTATTAGAGGTAATAAAGCTATTTATCATCATATTGTAGAGTGCATTTAATTACTAGAGTGAGTTAATGAGATCACCCCATGACACTGAATCTGGAGCTTCCTGAATTCCAGATCTCCTGGATTTCGGTCATTCTGAGTCATGGGAATGTTAAACAAAAGGTAGCTAATGGTCTGCTGTTTTAGGAGGGGAGGGGAGGTGGGGGGTGTTGGGAGACAATGCTTCATATTTTCATTGTAGCCCTACACATTTAACCACTTGCAGTACAGGCTAGACAAAACACAACCAAATAATCAGCACAATTTGCCATAGTATTTTCAATTGTTAGCTAGCGATCTATTAGACATGTTTAATAGATATTAGTACATGTATCCACCAAAATGGGCTACAAGTTGATARATGTCAAGTAAGGCCTCATGGATTTATTGACTCAAAGTCCATATAGTGGGCTCATAGATCCCTTCCAGATCAGAGGAATGCATCTCSAACTGGAGGAGGACAAAACAATAAATTCTAGTTCCTAAGAGAGAAAAAACTCTTCTGTTTTATACTTCAGATAAAGCTTCTTTGTTATCACATGCAAGTGGTCTAATGTTAAAATTACAGTCCGTTTAGGGTTATTATTTTTGTTACATACTATGTATAGTACACATGTAGTTTGTTTTCTTGTCTAATGTAAACAAAAAGCAAACTGTGAAATTATTCCTATTTCTGTAGTTCATCCAAACACACTTCTGGAGATGGTATCCCACATGGGACCAAAAGTAGGCTTAGTTCATCAGGTATGTTGGTTTGAATTAATCTCTGGGTTAAAGTAAATACAGCGAGGCATAATTACTGGTATGAGTGATGATTATCACTTAACTAAAAGAGCTCRTGGAGGATTTAGATCACAGGGGGATTGGCAAAAATGGCAGGAAATCTTCACAGGAATTTGCCTTGCTTCAATTTTAATAACTTACTAATGAAAAATGAAAAGGACAACAATCATTTGTGTTTTGAGAGTTATTTTATTTTTTTCTTCTTGTATTTTTAGGTAATAGTAAAAAGACAAAATTTGTTTAGAAAAACAGGGCCACTGCACCTTCTAAATTCACCTACCCCCCCCCCCCCCTGGATCAAGAATTTTAAATTAAAAAAAGACTATATTTTCCTTCTTCTTAGTATATGTTAAACAAATTAGTTTTCATTGGTTACATGCTTATGAAAACAGTGTTATGAAGAGCAGCACCAAGTCTAATTTCCTGTACTATCATCTTCCTTCGAGTGTTGAGTTGTGAAGGGTGGAGTTTATTATTTAATTAGTTGCTGTACTTGATTTTTTTTAGACTCCATACATCACATGTACTTCACAGTCGTTTGCACAATGTGTAGACCAGGTAAGGAAGTTGATTTGGTTTTCATGAGCTATTATAGCAGAAAAATATGTTTAAGTTTACAAAAATGTGTCGATCAGCAGAAGCAGAAGTGCAAGTGATGAAGTCAACGATACAATAGCCGACTTGCGAATTACGCATCAATAGTCACATACAAAGGAATCAAGMYGAGGCGCCATGCTTTTTTGTGAAAAATCTATTGTCTTTAGCACGGCGCCTCGTCTTGATTCCTTTGTATGTGACTATTGATACGTAATTCGCAAGTCGGCTATTGATACATTGTTAATCAACAAAGTTAATATGAATTACTATGATTGACAAGTGTACACAACCTCATATGACCCAAAAAAGTACACATCTTTGAAATGCAAAATTTCAATTAAAGCTCAACAGAGCTGGCCTTGTGCCAGAGGCATGGGCATGAGGCCACAAATTTTTCTTCGGGATCTCCCGATTGCCCTCCAATCGAAATGACTTTAACCTTGCTTTCACRAAACATCACACATGGCAATGCAAGCGTGACTCAATCCAGCTAGCCACGAGATTGCGTAAAGGATATCAAACCTCATCATTCACTCTGATAGTATTTCTTTGTTTATACTTCTACTGTGAGAAAAATATTGATAGACTAATTCTAATTGTAGAGTACAAACATTAAATACAACAACAACAACAAATCTTTATTTGGAGTTCTGCACACAAGGGTACATAAACATTGGTTCCAAATAATATATAAGGGAGTGTATAGATAAATATGTTTGTTTTTTTAAAAAGTTACTATTTCAATATTTTGTCTTACTTCGCAAGGCAAAGCATTCATAAATATACTTTGCTGCTTGCGTTTGTAATCTATTTGGAGGATCTATTAATTTTAGAAAAAATTCTTCCTCCGCAATAAAATCRTGAATGTTATTTTGCTTAATAAATTTATCTCTAATCTTAGAGTATAGGGGGCATTTAATAAGGAAGTGTTTTTCATCTTCTACAGCATCTTTACAATGAAAACACTTCCTTTCCTCTACCTTTTTATAACCACCTGAATATCGACCTTTTTCAATTTCTAGGTCGTGGTTGCTTATTCTTAGCTTAGTGAGGGCTCGTCTGTGATGAAATTGTTTAACTTTTGTCAGATAGCCCTCTAACGAGTAATTGACTTTAAAAAGTCGAAAAGTTCTTAATTTATTTCTTTGGCCATGGATTCCTCTTTCATCATTAAAAAGTTCTCCATGCCAATTTTGTTTCTCTATGTCTTGTAGTCGCATTTCAATAACAGCAAAAGGGTTTGTCGGCCGGGCACGAGAATTATTATTTTCTTCTGCCCATATATTACCTAACCCATTTCTTGCTAGTATATTTTTCACTTTTTGGCTCCAGCAAATTTTATGGCTGGAGTTTATNAGTGTTAATTAAACAATAGAAAACAATAGAATTAGCATTATTTAGCATTATTTAGTGGTATTTATGTTGCACAGTTTTAGTGTTTGTATTCTAGCAATTTAAAAGTCACATGTGCCACAGACACCCAATTTCAATTTTCTTCGTTCCCTGGCGATGCTGTAGACAGTGAAAGCTCTGATTCAATTDCTAACTACGAACACATAGCAGCCAAATTAGATACAATCCTAATTATATAAACTGTTACTTGTAGGTATATTTTGGTACCCAGCATGCRTTTGCTTACCTTTTCTCTCATACGTGTGGTATCTTGTGCGCTAGTGGGATGTCCTCYATGTATAACAAGACGGTATTAGATGACTTAGGTGAGAAATGTAATTATATTCTTCACGAATTTCATTCTCACTAATAAATATATCATTCCTCGCTGATATTATTATTGTCCAAACACAGGCCCGCGTAGGCTGCCTTACAAATGCGTCGTTCTTTCATAAAGCGGACGTAAATTAAATATTTAACTAAAATTAGTTCCATGCACAGTATAGTGTGTAAGAACTGCCTGCTAGAATGAGCAGTTCATAACAAAATACAGTTTATAACAAAAGAATTTTAAAGTAGTACAATAAAAAAAGGRAAACACCAGACCTTTTAAGTTTGCCTAAGGGCCTGAGATACTTTGTATTTTTTTAATTGTCTGGTGTTTTTTTATGACTTTTATTGGTATTGTACTGTTCGACCATTCTCGTACCCAGATACTTCTCAGTTCACCAACGGCTCTGTTTTAAAAATTCACGTAAACCATCATATGCATGTATATCGTACGAGCCAGATTTTCTGGGTGCTTTGGTGTCTTCTCTAACCAAATCCTTCGATTTTGTCAACTAGAAGCAATTGCTGAAATTCTAGCAGGTGTCAGAACATTGGCCATATGAAAAACGAGCAAAAGACTGGGAATGAGAACATTATTTTTAAACATCTGTTTTTCTCTGTTTTCACCGTATGAAGAAGTATATCTAAACGAGGCTGGTCAGGCCTCTATAGTGATTTCCATTCAAACCTTTGCAACTTCAAACACCTGTAATTTCTGGTCCTTAAATGTATGAGCAATGAAACTTTCAGATCTTATTCATTGTAATTTTTTCTTTCAACGGGTAGCAATGATACAATAAAAATCGTATAAACTAATGAGTTACGATAGCAACGCCCTTTTTCATATGGTCTACAGAGACAATCAATAAATAGAAATATTGCATCATAATAATAATTGCATCTTATTTATCACGTGACCAGGAGGTCTTCAAGCGTTCTCGTGTTATATTGCTGAGGATTACTTCATGTCAAAAGCCATTCAAGCCAAGGGATATAAAGTAGCATTAAGCTCTGAACCAGCCATGCAGAACCCTAGGGTCCAGTCACTCGAACAGTTTCAAAAGAGAATGTTAAGGTAACTATGGCAACTATAATAGAAGTCTTTTCATTGACAACGTACTACGTCGGTGTGGCTATCGCATCAACAACTTTATTTTGCACGGAAAAATTGAAAAGGTTACACTCGAGTAAATAATATGTAAAATTACAACTGTATTAGCAGTTGAGAGGTCTAATATTGATAAAAGGGTTGCATACCAGAAGTACATATGTACCTCTGTTATATACCAAATACATTGGCACAAAAGAGGCGTGAAATATAGTCACGCAGCCACCTTTTGTCAGGAAGGACGATGAAAGGTTAGGCAGCCAATACCCTGGTTCCAGAGGCTCTCTTTATGTAA